GGTCTCCTGCTGATGCTTGCGACAGCCGTGCCTTGCCGCCTGACTATCAGACTCATCGTCGACATGCTGAGCGACCGATGGTTCACCGTCCACCTTGCCCACACCCAGCCCACAAACATTGAATAATGAACTCCCACAGGGATCTGTTCTAGCCCCAGTGCTGTCCAATCTCTACACGGGCGACATTCCGGCGACATACTCCCGTAAGTTCACGTACACGGGACGACATCGCACTGGCAACCCGAGCCCGGACAATAGAGGACACGGGAAAAGTTCTCAAAAAAATATCTCAAGCCCTTAGAAGCATCCTTCACGAGTTGGCGCCAAAAGCCAAACACTTCCAAGAGCGTCGTCTCCATTTTCACCTGAACAACGGGAAAGCCACGAAAACATGAAATGTCAACTTCAGTGGAACAACACTAACACACGACCACCACCCTCGGTACCTAGACCGGACGCTCAACTACCGGCACCACCTTGAACAGAGCCAAAATTTAAACAAAAGCACGAGTGAACACGAGCCAGAAACTCGTGGGAACAACGTGGGGAAGAGACGCCCTCACCTTGGAAATGTCAACGCAGGCCTTGGTCTACAGCAGAGTACTGTGCTCCAATGTGGAGTGCCAGCCCTCACACAACCTCGTCGACATGGAAATTAACGCCGCTCTTCGCACCATCAGGGGCACCCTGAGGTCCACTCCACTCCCGTGGCTTTCTGTGCTGGCGGCGAGCATCGCTCCAGCCAACATCCGACGTAAATGCCGCGACGACCCTGGAGTACAACAAGATCGTGGACAACTCCGCCCAGCCGCTCCACCAAGACAAAGGAAGCCCCACGTCGTAGCCTTCAATGCAGAAAGCCTTTTCTGGATACGCGCCTCCACTTTGGCAGCTGCAAATGAAGACACCGGCACTCGATGGTCTGAAGGGTGGGCGGCGACAGACGTGAGAAACAAAAACACAATTGAGAAACCCGACTGTGGATGTGCCGCAACTATCTCACGACGTCTGTGGGCCACACAGCATTGGAGATGTGTGGCGTACACGTTGCTGCATAAATGTAAAATCAAAGATTCACCAGTCTGAGATACTGTGGTAAAGCCGAAACCATCAAACCGACGATTTGTGCCATCCACGCACACCCCAGTGGTATCGCTGCGATCCATACAGCATCTACTGCCGCTTTGAATTGCTTGAAGGACCTTAAGATTCAACTGTGACATCTATACAAATTGTTGCTTACATGCCGTACGGAAGAATAACTCTTTTAAAATAGAGGGCCGTGCATGCTGGCGTATTGGTCCAAATTTTACTGAATTGGGGGGAACTGTCCCCTGCTGGGAGACGATTTGCTCGCCAAGTGCCGTGTTCAGCACGTGCCGCACAGGGAGGTCTGCTATGGCTCATCGCACGTGCTGTCACAATGCGGAGAGGGGGGCGTGGGATCAGAAAGGATGGACGGAGCTTGAGCGGTGGATCTTCCCTTTGGCAAGAGAAGATTGAGGATGGTTTGCAGCAAAATACCAAAATGTAGTAAGGCAAAATAACGTTGCATTATTTTGTCCTCACAATTCTGTTCCAGAGGCAAGCATGGGGCCATGCCATTGAGAATTGTCAAACAGGCGTCAACTCGTGGAATTTGCCACACCCGTCAAGTAACTTGACAGGCTCTCACATGTCTTAGTTGAGAGTTTATCGTCACATTTACTACTACTGAGACCGGCACATTGCTTGACACTTGAAAGTGACAATCACACTTGTATTATTACTTCAAAGTGGTACAACAGGAAGAAGTATGCAGGTGCTATGTTGTCAGAGGGACCGATATACTTCATAATGCGACATGCAGAACCTTTACAGAGTAAATTAACTTTCGGTTTGAACAGGCTAAAGCAATACCACGTAGACTATAAAACTGTGGAAGTAAAATCAACTGTGGATGTGTGAACATGTATACTTTAACAATGTTTTTTTTAATGTATTTAACACCGCTTTCAAATATTGCATTGCTGTTTCTCTGGTAATGATCTTGTGAGGTAACCTGTCTGCTAAAGCTAGAAAAATACATCAGCGAGCACGTGCATGTGATTTACATGAGACCACAGAGCAAGTGACATTCTGATGTAGATCTGGATTGAAAGAATACAAGCAAGCAGCAACTAAAGCCTCTGCTGTGACCTCTTTTGTGCAAGCCTCTAATGGGACGAGCCACAAAAGGATGTCTCTCTCTGATATCGAATTTAATGAACGCTTTCCATGGGATTCTGGCAGTTGCCGGACCAAGATCCAACTCTGCTTGCAGGATATTAAAATAAGGGCTTTGTTAAAGTTCCTGCGTGTGCTGTGTGATAAAAAGGCACCAGTTTTTTTTTGTATTCTCCCAAGTACATGTCCAATAATGCCATCATACTCATTGTGAACCGAACATATCACCAGATGCTTTGACTGTACTCTCTATTAGTGATCAGAATATATGTAGCCAATGCCGAGAGCGTAATTGATTGTAAAGAATCGTTTATAAAGTTTACAAATAAATTAACAATCCATAATTTTGACAACTGAACAGAAAATGGTGACATCACCATCATCAATGCATCACACTGTTAACAATCAAGTGGCTTCCGAACAAAATTACACACCAAATTGTAGAATATAAGACGTTTTACATATCCAATATTAGGATCAAAGTGCAGGATGCATTGTCTTGAACACTGCATAAACTGTACACATATATCCACATTTTGCTTAATTCAGAAGCAGAATGTTCCGTTAATAACGAAAACATTTAAATTCAGTTTCAAGACACTTTCCCCAAATACTTATATATACCGTGATTGAAGTGTGCAATTTGTAAAACGTTATGCCCCAACTGCCCTCCACACATTTTATCATTTTCGCTTTTAGGAAGTTGTGATTTTTGCGGAATTCAGTGAGACGTGTTCACGCTCCACAGAACTTGTGCATTCAGCAGGATCTGCGGTGTTTGGTTAGCAGAGACGTTCCCACACCCAAGCTGAGAGCTGTTCTGGGCCCACAAGCCAAACGCGCACACACTAGTGCCTCTCTGCATTACTTTTTGTGCCCAAGTTAAAACCACCGTTTGTCTTCAAAAGTACGTATAGGGGATGCAGATGTGCTGTCTCCTAAAAGGAAAATCACGTTCAGAGATCGTGTCCCACATTAAGTGCAAAACCCTCTTATGGATGAATGAAAAGCAAACCCAAAGTACACCTCCCCCACGACAGTAGATCTGACTCACACAACGGCCAAAAATTTGACTTGAAATACATCCATAGAAAGGGTACGTTTCCAATCACTGCAACTTATTTTATCTTTTGAGAAACTGTTTATGCAATGAAAGGTATGACACAAATAAAATAAACCCATTCAGAAGACAAACAATAATCAATTGTTTTCAAATACAATTTGAAGTATTGCTACGAACATACACATCATTTTACGCTAGACTGGCACGTTCCGTCGCAACCTGTTCGATCCGCTGGTTTACCTCTGCTCCACGTGCCCAGAACTCGACCTCTGCACCTCTGGTGACCGAGCCCTGTGCATGCGCTGGGCCAAGATCACGGAACGCCCTCCCGCCAGTGGTGACCCAGGCAAGCACACTCGCCCTCCCTTGGTCTTCTCTAAACACTCCGCTGTCTCGCCTGCCCTACACTTCCCGTGGACTCTGCACTAAGTTAGTGCGTGGCGCACTGAAATCCCTGGATTAATTGCGTCTTATAAACGTCAACTATTATTATTAAGCTGCCTATGTAACGATTACCACCACTTACCGGGGTACCTCGGTGGCGAGGCCTCCCTTGTCTGAAATGCAGGAGAACCTGAGTTCCATCCCAACCTTGGCCATGCCTCGATCTTTGGAGTTCACATTCTCTCTCTCTCTCTCCCCATGGCGGTTGCGTGGATTTTTCTCCGGGTCTCCCAGGTTTGCCCTCCACATTTACAAATGTGCGTTTAGATTATTTGTTTACGACTATAAATGTCCACATGTGATTATATCAGCCACGTCGGTGAGCTCCCATGCGTGGTCAGGTCGCTTCTGAAAAAACAGCGAAGAGCTCAGTGGACTTTACCGGGTAAAATGAGACAGTTGAGTCGAGTAATTAAGCTACAAGTGTCCATTATCATAGCCTGTGCAAATTAAAACTCACACACATCAGGCAGGTTTGCCAGGACCACATGTGCTGCCAATTATACAAAGGACAGGAACAAGCTAGTTTAATGAGGAAGTGTTCAGGTCACCACACACATACACTTGCAGATAACTTTAAAATGACTTTGTTTAAAAATACATCACTGTAATGTCAATATTGTGTGACTTGCACTTTCTAAGGAAAACATTGGATTTGTGGGTTAAATTATACAGGCAAGTCAGATTATGGGAATTACTCAACGCATCACTTAATCACTACGATCATATTCTGAGGAAGAATATTTTCCATTTTCTAAGTATAAACATTAAGATCATAAATATGTTCCAATGGCAATGCTTAATTACCAGAATTACAGAGAAAGAAATGGTTATGTAAAGTATAAACGTTAAGATCATTGTTACATGCCAATCAGAAGGTGTTTGGTAATTTATTCCCATGGTAATGCTTAATTTTATCTAAAGTAGTAAGCATGTTCTCTTCCTAACAAGAAGCTATTTAATGCGCACGCAGAGCCGCCTCGAGGGTACAGCGAATCGAGATGACCGCCCCGGGCCCCGCGTTTGGGGGGGGGGGGGGGGGAGCCGCGCTTCAACGTCACGGTGGTGTCAGATGCAACACTCCCCGTTTTTGTTGCCAGCAAAAAGGGGAAAACCTATTCTCATAGAATCTACGTCTACCTCATTTGTGGAGATTTCTACCAAGGTCTTAATACAATTAGATGTTTTAAATAACCATGCCATTCGATAGATTGTCACCGTGCCTCCAAATATTGCAATTCTGAATGTAACTTGTACAAAGTCTCAAAACGCAAGCAGCCTCAGGTTCTCAGGTTTCATTGGCTATCATCAGCCGATTTAATTGTTTTATCCAACAATACAAGGAATTGCATGGAAAAGTACACCAGTAATTTACTTGACACATGTACAACATCTGGGGAACACTGGACCGATTTAATTCCAAGTCATGTTTCTAAATTAACCCTGCATGACCGCAATTACAATATACACCCCATTTGTAACGACGTATTTTAGTTTAAATGACTTTGATTAAACTTTGTCAGATGCTTTTATGGCATGTTGTTTATAGACAATCACATGATTTACAAATAATAACCCAAACGCAAAATCTAAACTCAACTTATCTCTCCCATGACTGACAATGGCTTTAAATGCACCCCATTTCAGTCTTCCTTCACCAAAAATGCATTGAGAGTACATCTTGAACAAGCTCACCAGCACAGGTGAGGATGATCACAACGGCTTGATGATAATAATCTGTCGTTGATAGAATCGCCCTTCACGCCTGGGCATCTCAAACCACAGGTACAAAGAGCAAGGCTTTGCCTTACAATTGGCATTACAATACACGCATTCCACTGCTTCCCCACGAAGCAACATTTCCTAGTCACTCGAATTGCAGACGAGTTCATTATTGAATAGGACTATCCAAACGTTAACCTAAAAAAAAGACTTGGCATGTATCCCAATGATAACTGCATCTGTCACTTTTGAATAAATTGAGTGAGGCAGCACGTTGGCAACTCCTGCACAACAAACCACTGTGTGCGTGTCTTCCCTTGAGGTGTCTGCTGAAAACAAGAGCCGTTGCTCGATCTGCGACCTCAAGACTAAAACAACACGAATCTCAACTCTAACCCTCGGTAGTAATTACATAGCATGTATCCAAACATTTCAGGTGCACTCCCGACCAATTTGTTTAAGTTGTGTTCCATAGCACAGCGATGTACTTAAGGCACTCCACCTAGAGACTACCTGAATTGACGTAGCCATAATTAGGACAAGGCATGTGGGGAGATTAAACTGGTGTCCTCTTAGCCATACCTATAAGGTAGCGGTAACAACCGTGGTATGTCATTTGTCCAGCATCTAAACGATGCCAAATAACGAGTATTGCTGACAAGTGGGTGTGTCTTACAAATAAAGATCAGATCATCATCAACAGTGCACATCAACGGTCAAAACACTGAGAATGTGTTCGCATGAACAGGTCCACAAAACTCATCTGTTCTGGACAGCTTTCTCAGATTTTTTATTGTTGTTGTAATTGTGCAACATCGAGGGATCAACAAAAATTAAGTTAACATTTTAATCAAACCTCTCACAAGTTTGTCATTTCTTACATGCCATTTCTTTACCTTGAGTGCCTGAATTTCTATATGATGAGAATAAAATAAATCTGTGGAAACTGAAAAGAACTTGAGTCGGTATTTTATACAGCCAGTTTGACCAAGCAGCTCCACATACAACCTTTGTAGGCAAAGGTTATTCACATTCAGCTTTGCTAAGTTTGTTGTCCTTCCCCTGCACCTCCGATTAGCAAGGTTGGCCAAGTATGTACGATGCGAAAGAAGTTCAACATACGTATATACAGTACACAAGTGGGTAAGTGCTTGCTACTAACAATACAGAAACAGTGTGTGTGCACAAGCCTGTGCATGACTGGAATTTGTACAAAGATCAACACTCGTCCACATATTAGTTTTTCACTTGAGGTCAACAGTAATGCAGGTCCTGATATCTCATCCACCCGTACATGAGGATATTACACTTACAGCAGAAACCATTATTTTTAATAAAGTGACATCTAACAACATACCTCACCATATACTACAACGGTCATGTCTAGGATTCAATTTTAATTGCAAGCAATTGCAATGTCTACTCTACAGATAACTTTATGATTTCCAACCATGGTTCATTACATGTGTGAATTCTGCACATTTCATTAAATAAAAAGTTAACCTGTCAAAATAAGATAAATAAATTAAACACAAAAATGGAATCCCAGAATCACCATTATGTCTGTTCACACATTTTCTAAATACCCCCTTTACAGATGTCTGTATACATCATCATGCTGAGAGATGTTAAACAAACCCTCCAAAGCTAAAAGAACCACAACCAAATATAGAAGCATGCTCTGTATTAATTATTGCTCAATGAAAACCCCAACCTTTGCATAAGTGCAGACAAGCAGAACACGGATTCTCATTCAGTGCGAGGACATAACAGTTTGTTCCAATGTACACAACAACGTACAGCTGGCAACTGCCGCCAAGAGACGTCCATCGATCTTCTACGACCTGGCAGACACCAAAGTAAAATTCACTCTTGTGTAGTTTCATTGTCTCGCAGATTGTGGAACTCGCTCTGTTTTTAAGGTCACCGTGCCAGCCAGGCTGCAGCAAGAACCCGTCAAGTTGGGCTTGGAGCTTGGTCCGTGGTGCCAGTGCTGCTGACCAGGTCAACGGCGTCGCTCTGCGGGGCAGACGACGCGACCGAGGTTGGAGCGTAGAGTGGAGCGGCACTTTCCCTGCTGTCGCCCACCTCTTTAGGGCCACCGACCCCAACCTCTTCCGCTTCGTCCATCGCCGGCCACGCCGTCTGCTCCTCCGACTGCCTCAGCCTCTCGTTGAGAGCCTTGAGAGCAAGCTGCCTGCAAAGCGCACATACAACGCAGCGACCGTTCAACCGCGGCACTCATTATTACACGACTGTACTTATAAAGTAAGGAACAGGGAACATTTCTGTGGCGTAATCGTTCACACGATGGACTGACAATCCAGAGGTTACGAGTTCGACTTACTGGCACGGCAGTTGAAATGGGCAAGTTTATTCAATCCCCCTACCTTTATCAATCTGGCAGTAATTATGAGTACACATGTCAGTCTATCAGCAGGCAATGTGATAAGGTAAAGCGTGGGTACTATTACTTTTTCAAAGATGTCTGGCCCATGCGAAAAAGTAAGTCAAAATACCCTACGTTTTACTAGGAATTGTTTTTGAAAACTACGAAGAAAACGTTTTATAATAGAAATGTGCTCCCCCGTGAATCATTTACTCATATCCAGACAATTTAATACCTAGAATAGGGTAATGGCTCAATTGTAAAGAACGAACAGAGTGGATTTGAAGCTTTCGTGACTGCAAGGATTCATACTCTTTGGTTTTATTCGGTAAAGTCACGTAGATAAAATAAAACAAACGAAAATAATTTTTACCGAATAAAACCAAGGAGAACAAACAGAGTGCTTAAAAAGAAATGAGATCACAGCCTAATTGCATGCTACATTTAAACATGTCAGTGTCCATCTGATGAAATGAGCGAGCGGTGAAACTCGTCTACGTTGGTGGCCCCGAGTCAGCAGTGGGGAAGTCCACATTACCATGCCAATGGCCACACTTCCACAAGGTGACCACTGCTGATTGCCCACAATGAGGAACTCATTTTATCAACAACGGAGGAATTATGAGGTAAGGTGACCCACGATCAGATGTTATATAAAACTTGCATTTTCTTTCATGTAAAGTCAAGCATTCTATAAACATTAAGACCTGGCCGGATCCGGTGGCCAGTGTCTATTCGTATTTGTACTCCCAAAGAAACTAATTTGTTCCCGTCAGAGAACATATGTTCCCACCTATTTGACTGTAACCTCTGAGGAATCACTAATTGATTCTCCCAACTCACATTTTAGGCGTTAAGAGTAAGTCTGGATTAATTACGGCCCAGTAAAGGTCAAAAAAGGTCTATTGGGGGTAACATAGAGCAACACGGATGGTATGATAAAAAGATGTATACTCAAAGCTGGGCTACTCTTTAGCAACACAAGTTTTTTTTTGAAATGTATATTTTAGCTGAACATGTATGGATAGAGACCTATAAGCAAAGAAATATTATTTTAAATTTTAAAGAGGATATATATATAATTGGAAAGGGAAATAAAATGCCTAAATATTGCTTCCAAACATGAACAAATATTCATTATTGGGGTAACAAATCCTTGGGTGGAGTACAAATATTAAGCACCGGGGTTGCTAAACGTCTCATCCAAGGTCTGTACAACAGTGATCATCACCTCCTCCTCTCGGCATCCTGGGCGTCAATGCCGGGCAGGCTGATGGTGACAGAGGACGGCGCTTCTACCGTGTAGCGCTTGCCGGCGCCGCGGCAAATGCCCACGTGCACCAGCGCCCGCAGCAGCGCTCCGGCCGCCGCATCCACGGCCCCTCGCGCCACCGGTGGGAAGAACGACGCGAAGGCGAAGTGCTCCGACGGGTCTCCCCGCGCCGGTGCGGCCCCCGCGGCCCCCGGGTGCCGCTGGTAGAAACGCAGGTAAAGCCACCCCGCGATGCCGCCGTACGCGAACGCCAGCGGCACACGGCCCTCCGCCACGTTCAGCAGGCGCAGCACGACCAGCAGCGCCAGCGAGGCGGAGGGAAGGTGGCGGGCGCGGAGGGGCACGGGCCGGCGTGCCAGCACGGCCTCGCCCTGCGTCTGCTTAAGCGCCACCAGCACGGCGGCGGAGAAACCCGCCATGCCATGCACGTGCAGCCAGAACAGGTAGTAGGTGTCGAAGGAGGAGGCGACGTAGACGAACAGGTAGGTGATGCCGCACAGAACGCCGGACGCCACGGTCGACACGCCGAAGTACAGCAGCAGCTCGAGCGCACCCCACGACGGCTCCAGCAGCCGCCCGGCTGCCGCCACCGTGGCGAGGCTGGCCGCCAGCTCGATGGCACGCACCTCCACGAAGGGGTGCGTCGCCAGCGTCCAGACCCAGAAGTTCGGAGGCGCCAGGTAGCCCGACGACACGCCCAGCGCAAACGGCGTGTCGGCCACGAACGACAGCGCGTAGAAGGCGAGCAGGAGGGTGCAGGCGGCGCGCACGGGCACGCTGGCGCCGCTCAGGGCGGCGAGCAGGCGGTGCCGCGCCGCTGGGAGCGAGTGGTGAAGCATGGTGCGTGGAGGCTCTCGCTGAGACGACCTGCGAGGCACGCAAAGTCAAATAAACCTCACGCGTTGTTACAGAGCGTCACGGTAATTCGCTTTTAGTCAATCCACCGCTGGACGAAGGCTTCCCGTTTAGGATTGCCACCTGATGAAATTGGGACGTATCATGGGAAGTATATCTGACAATCCCAGAATATGGGAGCACTACATGCAGATGGTGTATTATGTAACTGACAGAAACAAGACTTATGTTCTGGGAAGATCTCAGGACACAAACCTCAAAATGAGGACGTTCTGTGAAAATCAGGACAGATGGCAACCCTGTCCACACAGTGTCGGTCGGAGGGATTATTTAATCATAATTCACCACGCTGGTCAGTTCAGGTTGGGTCAGACATCACTTGCCATTGTTGTTAATCATAGCCAGGAGTGAAACTCAAATGGCTGGGGGTTTCACAGTGCAGGAACCATTTCACCGCTCTACCCTATGACATGTTGTGGCTAAATTCTTAACCGGTGAACTTCCATGTAGCGAGGGCAGGTAAACGGCCGTGTGGATTTCTCGGCCACAAAGATAATGACGTCATATTTTCTGTTGCAAGCAAATAGTGCAGGAGGGCAAACTGGCTCCACTGGTAAAGCCCAGTGCGGCTGTATTCTCCGTATAACACGTTCTGGACTCACCTCAAACTCGTGCCCGTTTCTATTTTAGTTATACAAATCTTATGTGGAGAACGGTAAGGACAATCCGAGTGAGGTTTTGCCTCATGTTGGTCTAAAACTGGAGATTATCACGCTCAATAATAATGGGCAAATTATATTCCAAACCCAGCCTCAAATACAGGTAAAATGGCCATGTTTCTCCATTGCTTGCAGTGTTTGGCGATGTGATGGTAAAAGCAGAACCAAAACGCCTCGCACGGCCTGCTTGCTTGCAGTACAAGCTCTGCAATGCTGTGACATGTTTTGCTTAGAGTTTGTGTTTGATGTGGACTCCACCTGCTTGATTAGTGCGGAAGTGCTTTACTTGAACATTATAAACACCAAGGCTTAACGTTTCAATTATTTTACAACGTGATAAATAAACTGTGCTTTAAAAATCACGTATGTGCAGTGGTATACAGCACTACGCGCATGGCAACATTCGCCAGCACTTTGCTCCAAATATAATTTCCGATGAGTTCACTCCTTCTTTGTCAAAGGTCACCATTATGGTTAAAAAAATATATAAACAGTTTTAAGTAATTGTTAATGTAGGTCTTCTATTCCCACACCCAGCTACTAATGGGTTCCCAACTATTGTTTACGTTCCACTTGTCACACAAATGGTGAGTGATTGCAAACGCGATCACCTGCAGGACTTCCCCTCACTCACACCCGGTTACTGCCATTAGGACTGCAGTGATTATTACAGTAACTATATATTCTTGGTTCTTTCGGTAAAGTCACGTAGAAGGGAAACAATAAAATAATAAACATATAAAACAATACAATTCTCACGACGTTTCAACTGCAACACAAGCAATCATCATCAGGTGTGAAAACTACAGCAAGAAAATTTGAAAGTGGCGGTTTTTTAACGTTAGCACCACGGAGAGCGATTTGGCAGTTATTCAGATGGACGAGTCCATCTATATTCTTGGTTCTTTCGGTAAAGTCACGTATAAGGGAAACAATAAGAAATAATAAAAAAATAAAGCAACATATTTTTTATTATTTTATTGTTTCCCTTCTACGTGACTACTGAAAGAACCAAGAATATGAATCCCTGCAGTCACGAAAGCTTTAAATCAAAATTAGTAACTTAACCACAGGCCTAAATACATAGTAGTCACGACGATTGTATACCCCAGAGTACAAATCAAGACATTCGGGTTTCCCTTACTGCATTAATAATCCATATCTGTCAACCCAACCCATACGATTTACCCATATTCTTGTAAAGGGAAATTGAGTAAAAATAACGTGTATTTGTTTGTGTTTCTCCCTTGTGATGGTACTTTGTAGGATGAACGTTGATATTTATAAGGGCACCACGGGGTAACCAGTAAGGTCTGAACTGGTGTGTAATAAGCCAGAGTCCCCTTACTACAATGGGAATCTCAGCTTCTCCTTCCGAGCAACAACTCGCTTTGTCGACCCATGATCACTCCGACTATGCCAGTAATCACCGTGTTAGGCCTATACGTTGTGCAGTATGCACTGTACGTTGAACTTCTTTCGCACCGTACGAACCCGGCCGTGCGGCGCGGGTGGAAGGACAACAAACTCGACACAAAGGAGCAGTTCTGTCAACGCCAACGTCCCCCCTACTCGTGACCACCGTGAACACCGCTTGCCCCTCACGACTAAAGCAGCAGCAGCAGCAGCCGCCGCCACCACCACAACCCCGGTACCTAACCCCCGGCTGCCATCGCCATCACCGCGTGACCGCAAGCTCCTCTCACTTCAGAGCAACCGCGCCTCTCCTTTGCCTCGTCCGCGCTCAGCAGCAGCAGCAGCAGAGCGACCACGGCGTGCGAGAGGCGCCAGTGGCTCTCGGGGCTGTCACGGCGAAGCGCTCGGAACGTGCGGCCGCGAAGTCGCCGCGCAGGAGCAGCAGGGGCAGGGAGCGGCCACGGGGTCCAGGCTCGGGCGGGCGAGGGCCGCGGTGACGTCACCCCTTCACCCTACGGGGGCCGAGGAGGCGCGAAGCAGCAACAACGAGAAACAAAAAATAACGCGATTTGTAATTGGAAGTTGAACTTGGGAGGCAGTTCGCCGCCCACTGGCCGTGTCTGTCCCTCCACGTCAGTGTGATGGATACTGATTTGTGTTTTTTTTACTTTACACATCCCATCAGCCATGCACAGCATGAATGAACGTTGAAGCAAAGTATCACGTTCCCTCCAGCACAAATCTAAAATCGGCGTAACACGAAATAACCAAGGGATAGGGGACGATGGTCAAGACTAATAACGGAGTGGTAACCAAGGAGTGGTAACCTGGGAGTGGTAACCAAGGAGTGGTAACCAAGGAGTGGTAACTAGGGAGTGGTAACCAAGGAGTGGTAACCTGGGAGTGGTAACCAGGGAGTGGTAACCAAGGAGTCGTAACTAGGGAGTGGTAACCAAGGAGTGGTAACCTGGGAGTGGTAACCAGGGAGTAGTAACCAAGGAGTCGTAACTAGGGAGTGGTAACCAAGGAGTCGTAACTAGGGAGTGGTAACCAAGGAGTGGTAACCAGGGAGTGGTAACCAGGGAGTAGTAACCAGGGAGTAGTAACCAAGGAGTCGTAACTAGGGAGTGGTAACCAAGGAGTCGTAACTAGGGAGTGGTAACCAGGGAGTGGTAACCAGGGAGTAGTAACCAAGGAGTCGTAACTAGGGAGTGGTAACCAAGGAGTCGTAACTGGGGAGTGGTAACCAAGGAGTGGTAACCTGGGAGTGGTAACTAAGGAGTGGTAACCAGGGAGTAGTAACCAAGGAGTCATAACTAAGGAGTGGTAACCAAGGAGTGGTAACTAGGGAGTGGTAACTAAGGAGTGGTAACCAGGGAGTGGTAACCAAGGAGTCGTCACTAGGCAGTGGTAACCAAGGAGTGGTAACTAGGGAGTGGTAACCTGGGAGTGGTAACCATGGAATGGAATGCGTCTGAGAGGCTCAGCTGCCGATGAGATGGAGCCAGGATCGCGAGAGGTGGCAGCGGCTTGGAGAGGCCTTCATCCAGCAGTGGATAGACCACGAATGATGATGAATTCACACGGATCTTGCCAAGAGACTGCATTTGCTCATGGCAACCACAATTCCAAGTCAGTGATTGTTTTGGCTCAGACGAGCAGAGGCGGTGCTCAGCTCCCGTTTACAGCCCTGAGCCAGTGGTAGAAATTCCACGTTCTCATGGCGGGGGTGATTCTGACCATAGCATAAACCTTACAGATTCGTACTAATAATATCGACCCTGGAGGGATGGTGGGCTGAGTCATCCCCCAACGAAGATGTGAACTCGTAACCTTCCGCTTGCGAGTTCACTGAGCCACCACTTGCCGGATGAAACATTCACTGACACAAGCGTGGTGAAGTATGGTCAGAAGCTCCCATGACTGACAGGGTATGGGGAGCAGGCTTTATCCAGCAATGGATCGAAACATGGCTGTAAACTGCAGTACGGTGTTACTCATATCAGTATTGTATAGGGGCGTTCAGGAAACTACAATGTTAAATGCCCTGCACACTCTAGTCTCTGATTATCAATCGCGAAGCACAGGACCCAAGGGGCAAAACGCTAAGCTGCCAGTAACAAACAGTACCATGATGCCGTCATAGACACGAAAGTTAATAGTTAAGGATGCATCCCTTGAATTGAGCGAGGTTTCAGTTTTCAGTTTAATTTATTAGGTATAGCCCTGTGAGCCACGCGGTTCTTGTGGGCCATGCGGCACTCGGGTGCAACCGCAACAAACAAAGACATGAACAAGAAACATCTGAAAGTGACTACGCGCAACAGAAAATTTCAGGAAAAAACAGCAAAGTCTTCCAGAAAAACCACCGTATATCAACGCTGTGTGCAAAAATCCCAGTGGTATGCAAGTCAATCAATTATAACCGTAAAACAATTTATATTCAAGTTATCAGTCTAACTCTGTACTACAACAAACAAATATGGCTAAACCAAAACGTTTTCGAAATCACCAAAATAAAGCTATAAAAACAATGTAACAGTGATCATAGGAACTGTGATTCAAATTTAACAATAAACGATATACATAACACGTAAGCACGTGGCAACGTCGAGACTGCGGGAGGGGAATTGCAGTGAAGCAAGGGGTTTAAAACACTCGCATCCGCCAGGTGGAGACACGCGACTTTGTCAAAACAGCAGGAATACAAAGCTCGTGGCCTTTGAAATAAAATGCACAGGCACGTGCAGCAGTCGTGGGAGTACTGCATTTGGGAGGGGCTAAATGAGTTACGTAACCTAGGGGCAATCGTTTCAAAACTTTTTTATTTAAATTTTAATCAGTACGCAGTAATTATACTGCAAGTTGCATTTGTTTGAAGTGTTTTTTTTCCCTTTGTACCGGACTGCATTGCTGCATTTGCAAATGCAGCCCCTGCAGCCACAAGATTGGCCTTGTTTCATCACACGCCTTCTTGATGTAGTATTGCACCCTGGTCAAACACCACACAGGCTTTGATTTTATTTCATCATCCGCGGTGGTGCAGTGGTTAGCAGCACTGCGCTATAAATCCTGTCACCTGATCACGTTTATATTTACGCGATCTAACCCAAAAAGACCTTTATTTTAGCCTGCCACCTGAGTTCGATTCCCAGCCTTCGCTAAAGTCAGTATTATCACTCCTTTTGCATCGTAAAATTCCATGATCAAGGTATTACATTTTTTGTGTATGCATACAATTAAGATGTATGCTATTTATATTTGTAACTGGTCCCACTTATTTGATCATATTCATAGTTAAACCATCTAGTCCAGGAACCTTCCCATTTTCACCCTGCGATGGGCATAGTTAAATTATCCAAGTGTAGCATTTCGGACTTCCTCCTCTTCAACTGACGAATGGTGTGATTCCTGTGATATTTGGGATTTAAAAATATATATTTAGTGAAGAAGCCACAGTGAGCAAAAAAAGTATTTGATCCCCTGCTGATTTTGTACGTTTGCCCACTGACAAAGAAATGATCAGTCTATAATTTTAATGGTAGGGTTATTTGAACAGTGAGAGACAGAATAATAACAAAAACATCCGGAAAAACGCATGTCAAAAATGTTATAAATTGATTTTCATTTTAATGAGGGAAATAAATATTTGACCCCCTCACAATCAGAAAGATTTCTCGCTCCCTGGTGTCTTTTATACAGGTAACAAGCTGAGATTAGGAGCACACTCTTAAAGGGAGTGCTCCTAAAGGGAGTGCTCCTAATCTCAGCTTGTTACCTGTATAAAAGACACCTGTCCACAGAAGCAATCAATCAATCAGATTCCAAACTCTCCACCATGACCAAGACCAAAGAGCTCTCCAAGGATGTCAGGGACAATATTGTAGACCTACACAAGGCTGGAATGGGCTACAAGACCATTGCCAAGCAGCTTGGTGAGAAGGTGACAACAGTTGGTGCGATTATTCGCAAATGGAAGAAACACAAAAGAACTGTCAATCTCCCTCGGCCTGGGACTCCATGCAAGATCTCGCCTCGTGAAGTTGCAATGATCATGAGAACAGTGAGGAATCAGCCCAGAACTACACGGGAGGATCTTGTCAATTATCTCAAGGCAGCTGGGACCATAGTCACCAAAAAAACAATTGGTAACACACTACGCTGTGAAGGACTGAAATCCTGCAGCACCCGCAAGGTCCCACTGCTCAAGAAAGCACATATACATGCCCGTCTGAAGTTTGCCAATGAACATCTGAATGATTCAGAGGACAACTGGGTGAAAGTGTTGTGGTCAGATGAGATCAAAATGGAGCTCTTTGGCATCAACTCAACTCGCCGTGTTTGGCGGAGGAATGCTGCCTATGACCCCAAGAACACCATCCCCACCGTCAAACATGGAGGTGGAAACATTATGCTTTGGGGGTGTTTTTCTGCTAATGGGACAGGACAACTTCACCGCATCAAAGGGACGATGGACGGGGCCATGTACCGTCAAATCTTGGGTGAGAACCTCCTTCCCTCAGCCAGGGCATTGAAAATGGGTCGTGGATGGGTATTCCAGCATGACAATGTCCAAAAACACACTGCCAAGGCAACAAAGGAGTGGCTCAAGAAGAAGCACATTAAGGTCCTGGAGTGGCCTAGCCAGTCTCCAGACCTTACTTCTATAGAAAATCTGTGGAGGGAGCTGAAGGTTTGAGTTGCCAAACGTCAGCCTCGAAACCTTAATGACTTGGAGAAGATCTGCAAAGAGGAGTGGGACAAAATCCCCCCTGAGATGTGTGCAAACCTGGTGGCCAACTACAATAAACGTCTGACCTCTGTGATTGCCAACAAGGGTTTTGGCACCAAGTATTAAGGCATGTTTTGCAGAGGGGTCAAATACTTATCTCCCTCATTAAAATGCAAATAATTTTATAACATTTTTGACATGCGTTTTTCTGGACTTTTTGTTGTTATTCTGTCTCTCACTGTTCAAATAAACCTGCCATTAAAATTATAGACTGATCATTTCTTTGTCAATGGGCAAACGTTCAAAATCAGCAGGGGATCAAATACTTTTTTCCCTCACTGTACATACAATGTATTCACTAATTTTAAGATTTTACCTTTATCAAGTGTGATGGTCCCATGTTTCTCTCCAAGGGTTACGATTTTGGATTTACCAATATATAATCATCCTTTACTTTGCTGCTTTCATGCTCTCATTACTCGCTCTACAATGTTCAATAAAGTGTTTGTTGTATTCTCAGAGAGCTTTCCTTATTATTTTCCTTATCGCTTTACACAGTTCTGTGTGTTCCACCTTCAGTTTTACATCCGTCTCTTTTTTATATTTCTCCTCAAATGTGTTATATAATTTGTTCTCTATTCGCGTTCTCAACATTCCCACTTCTGCCAATTTACTAGCCATTACTCTGCTAGTTTATGTAATATTTCAAATGGTGACATCCATTTCATACGTTTGCTCTTCTATAACTGTGAACCTATTGCTCAGGAGTCAGCTTAAAATAAAATAGCTGCTGACCTATATTTGTATGTTAAT